GATGAAGAGAGGTCACAGCCCCCCCCCCCCCCCCCCCCCCGCAGCTTCATATGCATCCTGTTCATTTGTCCGCACTCGGCCGCCATATTGCGCCGATATTTACAAAAACCCGCATCGGAGTAAAAACGGCGCAGACGAACAAAGGGAGCTAGCACAACAACACTGATGCTAAGCTAACTGCTGCTAACAGGCCGAGGCGGACTACCGGCCCGTTCACCGGGACGCTCCGCGGGCCCGAGGCCGCAGCTTCTTTCCGACTCACCGATCAGCGCCGCCGCACGATCCCGATCAACCGCCGAGGCTGCGAATCGATCCGCTGTGCCTCCGTTCGATTCCCGCTGCGTCAAGATAACCGAGCCAAGATGGGCCCTCGTCGGAAACCAGGTGGCGTGGCCTTCAGAATAAAAGCAAAGATTTTGATGCAATGCGATTTTTGTCTTTTTAGTAACTACACAAACACGTGCACGTAAATTCAGTCATGTGTATAAATACAGCAAAGCACAGAACTCAGTTTTCATCCAGCTCTGGTAACCATGGATTCCATGAAACCGTCTTTTATTGAAACAGAAACTTCATTACTTTTAAAAGTCTGACACAGAAACGATCTTTGAACTGATGGTTAGAGTTCTGTATAAATCTGTACAAGTTTGTTTATCTCTAATCTTGTTGCATGATATATTTTTCTTAGAGAGCACTGTGTGTTTATTTACTTGGAAAGTCTTGTATAAATACAGTTATAATAATTATGAGTCTTGTGTAGTTTTCCTCTAAGTCATTGTTGTCACTGTCTGTTGTGACCAGAACACATTAACAAATACATTCTAATCTCAATGAGGCTTTTCTGGTTCATTGTGTTAACTGAGTCATTTAAATACCAATATTTCTCAATTGATTCTTTTTTCACACCATGAACCAGGATGTTTTTCATCATTTCAAGAGTTTACATTTGTCAAGTTTTATTGAAATAAGATAATGTTACAAAATGTGTCTCGGAGAATAAGAATCTACAACAAACACCGGACAATATTAAACCTGCAGCTAAAGAACTTGTTAAACTCACAACGTTTCTAAATCACATTGACCCATGACTTCGTTGTGTGTTTTAATTTGAAACGCTGCGGCCGGATGCGCGGTGTGTTACCATGGTTATCTTGACGCTGATTTTACTCTGAAGACCAAACCGAGTCCCGCCTTCCTGCCTGTTGCTAAATAGTGATCCGCTCAGACCCTGACGCTCAGGCCGCCTCTGGGCCTTCCTGCCAGATCCTGAGCCCCTCGGTTGACCTGCTTCCTCCCGGTGGGTCGGTGCCGGTGCCGCCGCTGAACGGGAACCGAGACTTCTGCCCGTTTTTCTTTCCGTCGTTATTTTACCGGCACCGTGTGACGCACGCGCCGCAGAGCGTAACAGTCGCGGAGCTGCAGCGGGCCGGCAGGGGGCGCGCTTCTCTCAGCTGAGCCTAACACGCAGAGGGGGGCGGGGACGCGTCGCTGATCCAGAGTCAGATGTTACAGATGTGAAGTGAAACCAGATCAACGGAGACAGAACATCAGCTGATCTGGAAACAGCGCTGAGGACACGCGCTCCATTGACTGACAGGGACAACACAATAGGGCGGTGTTTGTCATTAGGCTCGATCAGCGGACACACCGCTCACCCGGGACACGCTGCTGAACAAACCAAACGGTGACATTACAATCCGAGCGGAGGAATTCGGGTAAAAGTGAAAGTGGCTCCTCGGCTGTTGACCGCTCTGCCCCGGTGGACACAGGCTCGACCCCGGGTCCATGATAGCACCGCACGGACGCGGAGGTGATCGACACGGCGGGACACCCTGGAAGAGACGGAGAAGCCCCGGGAGGACGCCGGTCACCGCGGACTCGATGTGAGAATCGTCGCCGCAACATGTGACGTGAACCGAGAGAAAACTGCGACCGAGGCCAACGACATCATGTTGGTCCGGAGCCCGGTGAGTGCAGCGGCTGCCCCGGGAACCACCGGGAACCACCGGGCAGAACCGGGTAGCTAACATAAGAAAACACCGGAGCCAAGAACCGGAAACACCGACATGAAAACACACAGACGTTTGTTCAGCGTCGTTAGCAGCACGCTAACGTTAGCAGCTAATTCAGAGTTAGCCACACTAACCCGAGCTAACTAGCTGCTTCACCAGCTAGTTAGCTCGGGTTGGTCCAGGTTAACGTTCAGGATTAACCAGCCGGAACTTCTGTGTTCAGACTCGTGGAGCTCAGGTTCAGAGTCACAGTTCAAGTACTAATACCACTGACGTGTACTCTTACTACAGGCGAAGTTTCTGTGTCATGATTGTTTATCTTCATTAGATTATAATTGAAGCTTTAAACACAGTGAAGTCTTATTGGTTCCAATCTGCTGATTGATTTCTCTGTGAATTGATTTGTTGGGTTCAGTAACTGACACATTCACATCTCAACACAGATCAAACCATTAGAGACGAACCAGCAGCTCAGCAGCTGTGAGGGTCATCCACTCATCTTCAGCTGATTCAGTCTCAAGTCAGGTTTCATCAGATCCGAACTGAAGAAATCACAAGTGATCAGATACCTTTAGTGAACGGGTTCGTCGTAGCTGACGTCGACTCGTGAATAAGAGACAAACCTTAACCTTTGTTTGAGATTCAAGTTCCCAGAGTCGTCAGAAACCCAAAGATATTACATCCATGTTAAACAGAAAACCTGTCACTCCTCAACATTTAATACGTTAATACAAAACTCCCACATCGACTGGAGCAGTGTAGAGGTCAGAGGTCAGATCCATCACACAGGGAGAGCAGACGAATAGTAAACGTCCGTGCTTCTCTTCTCTCCTCGCCACAGCCCGGCCGTGGCCGAGCCAGAGTCACTCATGCCGTGGTGGTGATCTTCCTGGAGTTCTTCGCCTGGGGGCTGCTGACCACGCCCATGTTGACCGTAAGTAAACACACAGCAAACACTCACATCTGCACGACGTTCATAATGACACAATGTCCGCACACGCCCACACGCGAACTCACTCTGACAAGGAGAAGATCCAGAAAATGTCCAGAGACACTGACTCAGACATTTGTTCTGACATACAGAACATGTGAGGAACACGTCAGGAACACGTCTGTGGTTCAGTTCAGCTGCATTGAAAATGTAAATATAGATTTGATTGTTGTTGTTTCAGGTTCTTCATGAGACGTTTCCTCAGCACACCTTCCTGATGAACGGCCTGGTTCAGGGAGTGAAGGTAAAGATCTCTCACAACATTGACACACAAACTTTCACACAGACCACGACACTGACGGAGACCAACCAGACTGAAACCTCAGATAATCTGCTTGTGCCCTGATCCGACCTGAGACCTTTCACCAAAGTTCAATCAAAGACCAGATCAAAGATGTTTTCACGATAACAGAAGAAAAACTCAGATTTCTCAGACTTTCAGAATAAACAGAAACATCAACATGTGCACAGGTGGCGGTCACTGTGGAGGGGAAAACCTGCTCACGTAGTGCCGACATCCAGAGTTATATTGTGTTACTAACGTGTTGTGTGTCGCTCAGGGCTTCCTGTCATTCCTGTCGGCTCCTCTGATTGGTGCTCTGTCAGACATCTGGGGCAGAAAGTCCTTCCTCCTCATGACGGTCTTCTTCACGTGCGCTCCCATCCCCTTCATGAGGATCAGCCCCTGGTGAGAGGACTGTTATCTCTGTGTGTGTCTCTGTGTGTGTGTCAGTAGACAACAGTAGGGCATCGTCACATGTTGTGATGTGGTTATTTCCAACTGTTAGCTTGTTAATGTTGCTCATCGCTTCCTCTGATAAGTCGTACGACATCATCTGTCTCCTGAAACTTCGTCGTCCAGCGATCGAACAGCGTCTCATCTAACGTCATGAGCAGAAATCTGTCTCTGCTCAGTAAAACGTTCGGGCTGAGTTCAGCTGATCCCTCACGTGGAAATGTGTTTTAGAAAACTGTTGAGTCTGATGTTTTCAGAAACGTGTGTAAAGTCTACATCCAACATTCTTTCTTTTTGCTTCTGTCTTGTACCTCATCATGTTTCACACACGTGATGGAAATCTTTATATTTTGTTACGTGTGGTGAAAAACCTGCTGCTAACGTGTGGTGGCGCCAGAGAGCAGCAGAGAAAACTGTTCAAATCTTAAAGACAAGAAACATTTTCACAGATCAAAACACTTATGGAGAGTTAAGAAATATTCACTTCATGTTTCTATGTTTAAAATTCTGTTGGATCAACACGTCTCAACAAATCAAATGATGAATCTAACTTTCAGCTGCAGCTCGTTGGTTCTTCAGGCCTCAGGCTGTCGGAGTTTGACCGGTCACATGTTGTTCATGTGATCAGCTGAGGATCAGTCAGGCAGCAAACGTGTTCACAGAAACCAGCTGCAGCTTTTACTCCTCTGAAGCTCGGTTCTTTTTGTTCCTGTGACATTTCTACTCACTGTGGTTCATTCTTCACTGTGACATTTAAACTCCTGCAGCTCAGTCATGGTTGGAGGCAAAGACTCAAACACTCGACTGTTACAAAGTCATGAATCAGTGAAAAGAAGAAACTCAAACCTTTAATTTGACCCAAGACACGGACTCACCATCCAAAACATATTTTGAACAGAAAATCTTTTCTACTTGACGTGATGAGTTTTTTAAAAATGTTTTTCACAGAATCTGTTGCAAACACTTTGAAATAATAAACGAGACGTATGATAAAGTGAGTTTGTTGAATTTAGATTAAAAAAAATTCCTGATGGACATAAATGTTAGACATGATTAGTTCAAGGACGGTCAGGAAGTTAGAAAACTGTGGTGTTGGGAACGTGTTTCCGGTTTCCTGCTCTCTCTTCTCTGTTGAAGCTGCACGACGCAGATGATGTCTGTGCTTCTGAGAACCGAACGTGTCAGTTTGTTTCCTTCCCATCAGTTTATATTTGAGTGTGAACTCATGGTGAAGTTTCACTGATGTGGTTGAAGGCGTCTCAGATCAGTCACATGGTTTGTTCACGTCTCACAAACCGTCAAAATTCCTGCTGACATGAAATAACAGGACGTAACAAAGTGTGAAATCTGATGCTGACAGTAGTTCTGTAAAGCAATAATTTAAAAAGTAGATGATGAATAGAATGACTAAAGATTCACTCTTGGTCTCCTCACAGTTGGCTTTTTGTGTCGTCTCCATGGCGACGTTATGTATTAGTTTTCATGGTCATGAGAACAAGAGACTCTGCTCCTCTGCTCTTTTCTTAGTATTCACACGTTGCACTGATCTTTATGTTTATCTTTAATAAATGAACGTAACATTGATGCTCTCCTCATCTACACACACACGAGGCTTGTGTGCTGCTCCTGAGCCTGAAAGGACAAACTCTGATTATAGCCATGAATCAAGACGCCATGAAAATATTTCTGACTTAAAGTGTGTGTGTGTGTGTGTGTGTGTGTGTGTGTGTGTGTGTGTGTGTGTGTGTGATGGATGATGAAAAAGAAAAAAACTCCAGGAAAGAAGATGGTGCTGAGTTATT